CGCACCACAAGCAATCCCTCACGGCCAGAGTTTGGTGGTCCACTCTCCTGAGGAGGGGTGCCACTGTTACTCCTGAATGTGAACTGAGAGCTGAGAATACGAAAGTTTAGAATAGCATGTGCTATATGTGTTGTGATGTTTTCCAAACATAAACTTGATTTTTTTAGGGCTTGCCATGCATCAGAGGCTTTTTTGGGTAACATTAAGATATAATTCATTGGCCGATTTAAAGTGTACCATTCAGTGGTTTTTACTTGTGTTGTATTCTATATTGCATTAGGAGTTGTGCACCACCACCACAATCAATTTCAGAACATTTTCCTAACCCCCAAAAGAAACCCTGTGCCTTCCAAACCTTTCCCTCCACCCCAACGCCAGCCTCTAACAACCACCAATCTACTTTCTGTCTCCACAGATTTGCCTATTCTGGGCATTTCATATAAATGCATAATATACTGTGTGACTTTTAAAATGTTTTCAAGATTCATCCATGTTATGGCATCAGTACTTCATTCCTGTTTATTCCCAAATAATATTCTGCTACATGGATACACACATTTTGTTTATCCGTTCATCAGTGATGGACATTCAGGTTGTTTCCACTTTGGGGCTGTAATGAATAACGCTGCTATGAATATTTGTGTACAACTTTTTGTGTGGTTATGTTTTCATTTTGCTTGGGTATATACCTGGGATTGGTGTTTCTGGGTAATATGGTAACTAAGTCTGCCAAACTGTTTTCCAAAGTGACTGCAGTATTTTACATGCCCATCAGCAACATATGAGTGTTCCAATTTCTCCACATCCTCAACACTTATGTCCCTCTCTTCTTTTCCAGTGGGTATGTAATGGTATCTCATTTCAGTTTGGGTTTGCATTTCCCTGAGGACTAATGATGTTGAGCATCTTTTCATGTGCTTATTATCCACTTGTATATCTTTGGAAGTGTGTCTATTCAGATCCTTTACCCCTTTTTAAATTGGGTTATCTTTTTGAATGGCTATTCAAAAGCACTTTAAAACTCAGTCTGAGTAAGGACAGGTTGGACCACTCCAATTTTATGTATCTCCCCAGGAAATAGGATGCCATTCTGGGAGAACTCTGATCCCTAAAGTCGTGGCTCTTAATCTCCTTTTGGCTCACAGATATCTTCAAGAAACCAATGAAAACTATGAACCTTCTCCCCAGAAAAATGCACATATGCACAGATATATCTTGCATTTAATACCAGAGAGTTCCTGGGCCTTCCACCGTTCCACCATTGCCTTGATTTGATTCTTTCTTTTCACAAGGGTAGTGTAAACCTGCTTCTGATTAGATGATTGTCAAATCATTGAACGTGGCCTTAATGGGCAACATAAAATTCTCAAATTCTAGGTTCCCACAGAGAAGAAAGTGTGAACTGTGTTGTTCAAATTATCGAAATCGCACTATGGAGAAACAGCTTTCATAGAAGATCACTTTAAAGGCCTACAGTCCATCATTTCTCTAAATTTGTCCCTTTGATCAAGCCAGCCTACAAGAGCTATCCACCGTTATGTTTGGGACTCTCTCAGAATGGGCTTCTCTGAATTGCACTCCAGCCTTATGCCCTCAGCCCGCACTGCAGCACACAGCAAGAAAGCTGTGCAGATTACATTACTGTCAGTCATGGAATGTCGTGGGACCTTCTCAATGCTCGCACACCTTCTCAAATGCTTCTATACACACTCAGAAACAACTTTCTTTCTCTTCAGCCTGTGATCTGTCTTGATCTCGTGGGCAGCATAAAACTTTTAAGCAATAGTGTTTCCTCCTCTGCTTTGACCTCTAAGTAGCTCAGAGGTAACTTTGCTGCCTGCCTCTAGCAACTGGACTGGGCAACTGGATTTGTGAATCAGTGCTTTTAAGGCCCTCACTTCCCTTTTCCCTGATTCCACTGTTTATTTCTTTTTGAATGCTATTTCAAACTGTTTCTGGAACAAGCTGACAATTTTTTTCTAACCTCTGTCATTCTGCACTTCAATACTGACTGTGACAACTGTTTGATTCACCTCTGTCCTCAGTGACATACAGCTTATTTTATAGTTCTCTTTCTCACCTGTAACTTTCAGGCACTAAACTCAACTGTGTTTTGCAAACAGAAAACCACCACCCACAGTTTACCAGGTGTTATGAGTGTATATAAGACTGAAGGTAGAATTATTTGAAGTAGACATCACAGAAACAGAGTGGTATAGTATTTTTCTGTTCAACAAGATACTTTCATAGTATTAACTACACCAGGCAATGTTCTAAGTGCTTCACAAATATTACCCAATTTAATCTTCACAAAAACCCTATGAGGTATGTATTATTTTTATTGCCCCCACTTTGCAGATGAGAAAACTGAGGCATGGAAGGGTTAATTAACTTACCCAAAGTCACACAGCTAGTAAGTGGCAGAGCTAGGATTAGGAACGGGGCTGTCTACCTGCAGGGTTCACACTCTCCACCTCTAGGCTCTTTTCAAGCCAGGGCTCTGGGGCCCTTCACAAACCCTTAAGCTGTCCTTGTCAAATGGCAGCAAGAACACCTACGGCCTCCTGGACTTGTCGAAATCAAATGAGGCCCTGTGGGAAGGTACGTCCAGCCCACGGTGGGAACTCAACTTTGCCCTCTTCAGCTAACACCGGCAGAGGACTCCAGACAGCAATACATTGGGAATCCAGGGTGAGAGAAATGTGACAATCCCCCCAACAAGACAGTACCTGCAGAAACCAAAAGTAGATTGCAGACCCCTCATCTTTTCATCTCATTTGGGTGCCGTGATCACGTTGAGATTTTGTAAAATGTGTGTTAAGGAACTAACTCAAATTTAGTTTTCACGTTTTTATATTTGGCATATCTTTCTGAAATGAAGTTGAGATTAAATTACAATCAAATGTTCTGACAAACTTAGCCATCAATTAGCTACTTCAATTTTACAAAGCACAGTGTAAATTTAAGCAGATACAGAGTAACCTCATGATTCCTTAAGTATTTCCAGTGGCTACAGAGTCTGTCATTGTTCCTCCTAGTCAATCCATAGTAAGAAAATTCCAGAAGTGGGGGCTGTAGCCTACAGATTTTAAGCTGAAACTTTGAACAGTATGAAACTCAGAAATCCCCTCATACCAATCCACATAGGTACTTTCAGAGTCTGCAAAGCCTTTTTAGAACTGTATGTTCAGTAAAGCCTCTCAGCCCCATCAGATGTTATTCCCGTTTTACAGAGAAGTACAATGAAGCCCAGATGGCAGTGATTTTCATGCATCTGGCAAGTGGTGCTCAGGGTCCGCTGTGTGTCAGGCGGCATGCCGGCGGAGGATGCAGGACACAGCCGGGACAGATGAGAGGACAGCACAGTGTGCTCAGTGCTCTGCACGCGGCACACAGGTGCTGTGAGAGCAGCGAGGAGACTAGCCCTGAGTCTGTCAGGGGATGCAGGAAAGCTCTGCCATGTGAGATAAAGTAGACAAGTGATGAGGTGCTTTAGGGACACGTGGCAGGGGTGGGAAGAAGAGGTGACGCAGAGGACAGCACGTACAATAGCATGAAGGAGACCATGTGGTGCACCCAAAGGACACTCATCCCTCAGTTCAAACCATTTGAGCACTGCCTCAGTGCTGGGCTTGTGCCAGGGAGGAGGATCCCACCATTGGTCAGATAGGCAAAGTCCCTGCCCTCAAGGAGTTTCATTTTAAAGGCAGAAATAGACAATAAAAACGTAAGTCAAGTAACAAAGCAATTTAGACAGTGGTGAGTACTACGGTGGAAATAACTCAGGGCAGTGAGCTAGAGAGACTGGGGGAAGCAGGGTTAGGGTGCAGCCCTCAGGGGAGGCTTGCTCAAGGGAGGTCGTTAGAGTGCAGGCTGAGAGGGAGGAAATGCCAGTCACGGGCGGGGTGAGAGAAGGGTTCCAGGTGAACAGTGAGAGGAAGAGGGAGAGGCCAACTGTGTCAACAGATGCTCGGGGACTGAGTAGGTCCCTGGCGACCTTGAGAACAAGACAAGTTTCATGTCAGGGATGGAAGTGGGGTCAGAGAGGGTTAAGAAGAAAATGGGAGGTGAAGAACTGGAAACAGTCACTGCAGACAACTCTTTCCAGAAACATTTGAGTGAAGGGAGGCAAATACACAGAGCAGTAGATAGAAAAGCATATGGAATTGAGGTTTCTGGAAGAAAGGAGAAATAACAGGATGTCTGTATGCTGATGGGAAAGATCCGCTACAGAAAGGAGAATCGCAGGAGCCACGCCCCAAGCTGGCAAGTACTACACTCCTTCTCCTTGTCACTAACTGCACATTCTAGGTCCTTTGCTGGAGCTATTTCCTGTGATCCTCAAATGCTGGCATCCTGCAGCCCCAAGCCCAGCACCACACTCTCCTCTCCTGCATGTTGACATCCAGACCTTTGTCTCCCGTCTAAACCTCTCCTCAGCACTGTAGATGCTGAACGTATCCATGGATGTTCCATGGGCACCACACACTAAAGCCAGCACCTCCCCCTCGCCCACCTCTCTCTTCTACTTGAGTTTTGAGCAAAAAAGGGCTCCCTGTCAAGGCTCTTCAGCACGGCCCCTTTCTACACTCCCAGACTGACTTCACACATTCCTAGCCCAACTGGCTAGTGAGTGGCAAAACCAGCGTATTAATCCAGGTCAGCCTGACTCTGCAACCCATGCTTCTACTACATGCTTCCCTTAAAGGAAGTTCCTGCCGTTACTTTATTTTCAACATGTTTCATAAAATCTTTATTTTAATTAGTACAGAGCTATCCACATTTAAGTCATCAAGACAAAGTATCACTTTATAATAAATATCCACATGAGAAAAAAGTCTAGCAAAGTGGTTTATTCTCACAAGTTACTGCTGGAAGCAGTCCTTCAGACAAATCAGAGCAGTGAAAATGTCTAAGACGAGTATCCATTTTTCAGATTTCTTCACCACTGCTTTAGTACGTATCATCTTTAAAGTTTTATATGTTCATGTCTCACAAGTTACTGCTGGAAGCAGTCCTTCAGACAAATCAGAGCAGTGAAAATGTCTAAGAGAAGTATCCATTTTTCAGATTTCTTCACCACTGCTTTAGTACGTATCATCTTTAAAGTTTTATATGTTCATGTTTTTACAGAGCTGCTACCACATACGACAGTAACTCTTTGGTGTTTGTTTTTATTTCCAAGTTTGTGATTTTTTTAGAGAGGCTACTTTAGGGCTGTGAATTGTCTCACTGTCTTTTCACTCTCTCTTTTTAGTTCTTCAATGTGGGCATCCAGGCGCTCTAGAATATGATGAGACCTCAGTTCCTCCTCTTCCAAAAATCTGGTAGCTATTGAGCCAAGGGGAGATACAGGCAAGGAACTCTAGAAGAAAAACAAATTTTGACATGTATAAGTAGAATATTATATTTCTAAGATACACTATTTGTGATATTTTCTAACTAGTAATATTAAAATGTGATTGTTTTTCCTCTGAAGAGATATTTCTTTGTTCTCATGCTAATGACAAGGGCAGTGAAGGAAAAAAAATCAGTAAGTTCTGCAAAAATTAACACCGATCTCTCCCTTTCTGATCCAAGTTGTTTCAATGTACTCTGTCATATAAATATATTAGTTATTGATCTGAAGAATATCTTAATTTAGACTTTTATACTCTTCTATACCCCAGAAGAGAACATAGTTAAATGTCTGTTATTTCAAACTCGCTCTAAAAATATGAACATGTTACTTTCATTTAAAGCACAGAAAATCTACCATAATAAAATAAATACAAGTTTAAATCAATACTTTTTCTCCTCCAAAATTCCAGTCCACAGTTCCTGATGGAGTTTGGATGTGTTGTCCCCTCCAAAACTCATGTGGAAATTTGATCTCCAGTGTGGCAGTGTTGGAAACTGATGGTTTATAAATTACCCAGTCTCAGGTAATTCTGTTATAGCAACACAAAACAGACTAAAACAGTTCTATATCTGAAACCCTTGGGGCCAGCGGTGTTTCAGAATTCAGATTTTAGGAAGGTAATACAGGACACACGCCACATGCAATCGCTCCTCATTCACAATAGTCATGTTCTATGAAGTCACCCTGAACACTGAATCAGCAAATACAGAATCCCTGTCCCCACGGGAAATACACACATACAATCATATATACATATACAATCATACACACACACCCCCTCACATAGATCATAATCCTAAATCCTAGAAACACCTCATCCTGGTGGATTCTATTTTCTTTATTTGACAAAAGAAAGCAAAAGAAACAAGGGTCAGAAGTGCTAAATGACTCTCAGCAAGTGAGGCTGGCCATGCACGAACTGGCTAAGATTCAAACCCCAACCAGCTGGCCCAGAGCAGAGCTTCCTGCGCTGCCCCGCCACTGCCACCACCACCCTCTGGTCACCTCCTGTGAGCACTGAGCCAAGAAGGCAGAGCGCTACCTCGTTCCACCTCAGCTGGGAATGTGCAAGTCGGTGACAAATTTTTTGTTGTTCTGCTTACATCCACAAACGACTGAGGAACTGCCTCCAGTATTGATTCAGGGATTACAAACAATGTCGGGAGTAGGCAAATTCGCGAAGACAGAATCCGTGAATAATAAGGATCAACTGTATTACCCTAGTGGAGTCTGACATAACATCCCATAACCAAACAAACTGGTATTTCTGAAGCAAAACGCATGGTCACTCACTAACTGGGGTAAATGAAATCTATACACATAGTCACATCAGGTCAGGTCAGGGCATCCCATAACCAAACAAACTGGTATTTCTGAAGCAAAACGCATGGTCACTCACTAACTGGGATAAATGAAATCTATACACATAGTCACATCAGGTCAGGTCAGGGAAAGTTTTGGTGCCAAAAGAGTTTTGCTGTCAAACTTAGGAAGAAAGTTAGTTTTCAGGGCTTTTTTTAATTTCAGAATTACATATAAGTGAAGTGGGGACTTATTTTGAAAACTAAAGGAAATTTTTCCACGGACTTGTTGCACCTCAAAAATATTGAACTTGCACAGGTATATGACCATAGCTGGTGAAATGAATAAATGGCCTGAGGCAAGTGCTTCAGCAAAGAAGGCAAAAAGCTGGTGGAGTGTGCACAGTGGTGAAGATAGAAGAGGCCAGCACAGCATCAGAGGCCACCTCTGCTGCCAGGTCCACTTTCGTGTGGCTACCCAACCATGCCCTGCACACTCCAGATGCACTGCCTTCCTCCACCTGCAACCACCCCGTTCCCTGCCACCACTGCTGCTTCCCTTCCTTACTGTCCTCGCCTCAGGAATATCTTGGCATCCACAGATGTTCCTTGAACCAACCACTCCAGTACAAAATTGACCCTCTCTGAAAAAGGCAGTAAGGGAATTTCCAATTAGGGTTAGAGACAAATGAATACCTATAACTTATGTTATATTTCAGAACTAGGATGCATTTGAAAAGTAATCTCGGCTGAATGTGTCCTCAGAAGCAAAACTGTAAGACAGAAAGAAATACCTGAGAATAATAAAGGGTACTGATGATAGAGAACTAGTAAGAAAAAAAAAGAAACATTACCCTTTTCACCCTTAAAATAAAAACTAAAATCAAACTAAATAAACTAATAAGCTAGTTAGATCAGAAAATTTCCATACCGAAGACAGAAGCTCTTCTTGGTCATTCACACTCTCAGACATAGTGTCAGAAAAACTGGCTTCATTTGTATCTGGCACTGAAGCCAAAGAGAGTGTTTTACACAAAAAGTAAGAAGGTAAGGAGACGGTGGAGCTGCAAAGGCTGATCTGAGGACTCAGGGGGCTGAGGACCCTGAGCACGGGGTCTACACTATCCGATGCTTGTCCTCTTGGAGAATGAAGACCTGTTGTGTAGTGCTCAGTCTTTACTCCATCATGTCTGTACTGGCCATGGGTTGGCCTGGATAGCAGATTAGAAAACAAAACAAATTAAAAATTGTAGCAAGTTTTCTCTTTCCAACAGAAATGTTCACTTTCTTTTAGTGAACTTTAGTGAACTTTTTAGTGAACTTTAAGCAGTTCACTTAAAAATAAACAAACAAGCTAACTAGTAAGGCTACAATTTACAAAATGAGCAGCACCCTCAGACCAAGTGTTCCTTCATTCATTCAGTCCCCAAATATCCAATCCCCACTGCCAGGCCCTTGCCCTCCCACACTTACAACACAGCAAGGAAGGCAAACCAGTGGCCAGAGTAACCTAGTGTGTGAGTGCTAGGACAGAGGAAGTACTGTGCACGTAAGAAGGCATGTAACCTCACTGGGGTGGAGGTAGAGGTAGGGGTGGAGGTGAGGGTGGGGGTGAGGGTGTGAGCAAAGGCCAGGTGGCTTTTCACTAACTGCTTACTTCTTAGGGGAACATCCTATAACTAACTGACCAAAAATACAAAGAAACTTTTTTATGAAAAGGCCAAATTCTGTATCTTATGGGACAAGTGGGGTGAGGGTGTGAGCAAAGGCCAGGTGGCTTTTCACTAACTGCTTACTTCTTAGGGGAACAGCCTATAACTAACTGACCAAAAATACAAAGAAACTTTTTTATGAAAAGGCCAAATTCTGTATCTTATGGGACAAGTGGGATTGAGGAGATGGAGAGCAGCATAAAAAGGCTCAGGGGAATAAAGATAATGTACAAACAGAGCGTACAAAACTAAAGCTTTAATTAAATTGCTGTATAACGCCCCTCCATTTTTTAAACTGTTTGTAGCTTTACTTGTGCACACTGTACTTCAGAATTAAACAAAGAGGCCTTTAATGAAGATTTAATTTCTGTAAGTCAGAAATTATTCTCAAAGATTCTCAAAGAATGAGAGTTATATTGCAACTATACACATTTTAAATAAACTTTTAAGAAATTTTACTTGAACTCTGTATTCCTGAACTCAGTTGGTCTGCTGTGTGTTGCTTTAACCATCCTGTCATTTTTTTTTTTGCACATCTGAGTAGAAATCTCCAGCTGAGATTTGGTATTCATCAAATCTTTCTGCAGTTGTTGATTTTCAGACACTAATTTATTTAATGCCTCAATATAATTCTCCTGGAGGTCTGCTAGTGAAATCTCTTTTGCCTGATTAAAAAAAAAAATACTAGAGTCACTTAATTTGTACAAGAATACTTGTGATCTGTGATACTACTGCTGGTTGAAAAATTCAATATTTTTTAAATAACTAGTTAAACTATGGCTTTACTTTGAGAAAGTGAAGATTTGTTTTTAGTCCCCTTAAGATTGTCAGAGAAAAAAGGGTTCTGTTTCTTAAAGTAAACAGAAGTGGAAAGTTAGAAGCACAATGGGCTTCCTTATGTGCCAAGGAATATCCAAGTTACTGGAGGAAGGATGGAAACAGAGTGGAGGAAAGCTGTAAGTGAGAATCAGAAACAGGGAAAAAGAAAGAAAAGCAGCCATTATTCTTCTGCAAGGAGATTAAATAGCCCCAGAATACCTATGGAAGAAAATAGAGAGACATAGTTTAAGGAAAGAAATTTGAATAAAAAGGTTCTGAAAAGGAATTATGGCTGGCAGGGACACTTTTAAATAAATACCCTCTGATCTTAAACACGTTTACATAACTTTGGATTCTATTCTTGTATGTAAATTTGGACATGATAAAGCAGGATTTAAATACAGGTTGAGCATCCCTAATCTGAAAATCCAAAATCAGAAATTTTCCAAGATCAGAAATTTTTTGAGTATTGACATGAGGCTCAAAGGTCATACTCAAAGAAAATGATCATTGCAGGATTTAAATACAGGTTGAGCATCCCTAATCTGAAAATCCAAAATCAGAAATTTTCCAAAATCAGAAATTTTTTGAGTATTGACATGAGGCTCAAAGGTCATACTCAAAGAAAATGATCATTAGAGCATTTTGGATTTCAGATTTTTGGATTAAGGCTAATCAACCAGTCAGTATAATGTAAATACTCCAAAATCTGGAAACAAAACAAAAACAAAATCCGAAACCCTCCTGGTCCCTGAAAAAAATGGTAGTGTGATCTAATGACAAAATATTCTAATTAGTATTCTGCAAAATTATGGTAATCGTCTTTGGAGTTTAACATGATGTTTACCTTGGTCTTTTCCACTAAAAATTTTCTAAAAGTAAGCTGGTCAAGAGTAGTCTGACAAAGATAATTCACCTAACAAAACATAAACTTTAAAAGATAGCTATCTGTGTACCATTAGTAACAATGAGTTATAAAATCTTTCGACAAGTTGTAAATACCAGATAAAATTTCAGAAAAGAACATTTGCAGGACATATAATAAACCACAAACTACTGTCAGTTTTTTAAATATGGTAAATAATTTATTTCATCAGAGCTGATGCTTTCACTATTAAGATAATTAGATAATTTACTAAAATAGTTACTAAACCCAAACATTCATTTGTAAAAGTAATCCCACCTTCTTAGGTGGCAAAATGCAAAAGGGCACATTCTAATAATTATTCATAATAAAATGTATATATTCACACTGTGTATAACTTCAAAACTGGAGGAAATTTAAACAGCTGACAAGACTTTCACCAGCCTGAGTTTGATGCCTGATGTCACTAAACATACTTTTTTAAAAAAGATGTTTGTCTTTGCTAGGCACCTTTTAAAAATTTCTCAAAGTTAGTAGTTTATTAACAACAATTATAAATAAATGAATGTGAAAAGTAATATAAAAACCGAGTAGCAAACATGTACCTAGCTGTGTATTAGATGGAGGTTTCAGCAGAAATTAAGCTGAACAATATTTCTGGTCATAGTCTAGCTTAAGTTCCCCTTAGAGTTCTCATCTCTTAAATATGAACAGGTAATCACTGCATAAGATGAGATCTTCTCAATTAAGTATTGCTGAATCCTGAGCCATTCTAGTATCCTGTAGTGTAAATAAGGTTAGTTCTTGGATTTTTCCACTACTAGCTTACTACCGGCTCTATCTTAGTCCTGGCATATAAAGTCATTTACCGTCTACCCACCCATCCAACTACCCATCCATTCATCCACTCATCTTGTTCCTTACAAAATGTTTAGCTGTTGTCTCCTCTCCTATTTTCTTCCATCCTTGTGGGTTTGTGCTTTTTTTAAAAAAAAAAATATTTTCATTATAGTTTTAGAGGGATTTGGGGAGTGTATTACAAAATACTGGAAACTGGGTGATTTATAAAAAAACCAAAATTTATTGCTTACAGTTTCTAAGGCTGGGAAGTCCAAAGTCCATCTGGTGGTGGTAAGACAGTGGAAGGAGAGGGAGAGATGGAGAGGGGAGAGGGGAGGGGGGAGGGGGAGGGGAAAGAGGAGAGGGGAGGGGGGAGAGAGAGAGATAGACTCTCCTCTTCTTTTAAAGCCCTCAGAAACACACCCCTGACCACCATTTTTAATCCATTCTCTACTGCAGGTCCTACAATCCAATCATCTCTTCAAGGCCCCATCTTTCAATTTCCCACCCTCTTAACAGTCACAGTGGGGGCCAAGTTTCTAATACATAAAACTTAGAAAACATAATTAAAGCTTCAGTGAGTTTTGGGGGGACATTATTCAATCCACTACAGGGAGGGAGGGTGATTAGACGAGTGTTTTCATTTGCTATTTTAAATGACAACATATTTCATAGTAGACAGTGCCACAAATTAACCATTTAAACATTTAGTTCATTTCAAAATTTTGGATATTGCAAACAACACTGCAATGACCATTTTTGCACATTTGTTCCTATAGGATGGATTCTTTGGGAATGCAAATTGATAAGACCATTCTGAAGAAAAATTTAGCAATAACTACCAAATTCACAATGTGCATGACCTGGGAGTTTAGAGGCTATATCTATAGATATATCCCTTACCCATTTTTCTATTAGATTATCTTTTCCTTATTATCTTTATAGGGAATCCTTATATATTAATATTTTATATTAACCTTGTGTCTGTTTTTAAGATTGTTTTTTCTCTGTCCATATGTCTTTTTTTATTTTATTTATTTATTTATTTATTTTTTAAAGATGACCGGTAAGGGGATCTCAACCCTTGGCTTGGTGTTGTCAGCACCATGCTCAGCCAGTGAGCAAACCGGCCATCCCTATATAGGATCCGAACCCGTGGCCTTGGCATTATCAGCACTGTACTCTACCGAGTGAGCCACGGGCCGGCCTCATATGTCTTTTTTAATGTGGTCTTTTGCTATCCAGAAATTTTACATTTTTATGTTATAAAATCCTTTATGGCTTCATGATGCTTAAAGAATCTTACCCTTCCAAAAGATTATAAAAATAGTTCCCAATTTTTCTGATTAAAATATTCTTTTAGCTTCCTGCACTTTCTTCCACCCCAGCCTCCATAATCCATGATTGTGAAATTAGAACTACTCAAGAGCAAATAGGGAGCACTATACATCTTTTTGGAGGCATATACTCTCTGGAAGTACAGAAAAAATAATTTATACAATCTTCAGACATTTGACCCACATCAAGAAAAGATGGGTCAGAACAGATGAGTCACTTTGCAAGCTATAAGAATTTTATAACAAAATAGTTTAAAAAGCACCACAATGTTACTTAATCATGTTCTTTCTGGTTTCACAAACGCTTGTATGCATTTCTTATCCTCCTTACTAGATTACTATAATCTCTTAAAGGCAAGAATCCTATCTTATTCATCCTTTTGTTCATTACAGAGCATACTAAAATGCTTTGAACAAAAATGATTCTAAAATATTTGATTAAATGAATTATATCTTGTAGAAATATAATTAAAACTAAATTATTTAAAAGATAATAGAATGAAAAGCTATTGTGAACATAAAGAATTACAATAATAATAATAATACCAGCATCCAGCATTTATTGCATACTTACATGCCAGGTACTATACTAAACCCTTTACATACATTCTCCCTGCAAAGAACACACAGTCTGTATGTATATTTTACCACATACATAATATAACAATATCTTCCTACTACTAGAATGGAGAGTCATATTTTGCTCACTTCCATCATTGTTTTGACTTCATTTTATTTGAGAAAATTTCTGCAAAAGGATCATTTAGTTTGATCTTAACTTTCTCTTTATATTACCAATATTTACAGTGACTTTTTTGAAGGGTTAGAGCGTAGAAAAAGTTTCTATTTATGTACCTCATGTACACCCAATTCCAATTTCATCACCATTTCAGAAAGACGACGATTTTCTAACCTGAGTGAGTCCAGCTCATTCAAAATCTCCTGAGAAGGGAAAAGCAGAAAAAACAAATAAATATAACAAATAAATCAAATGTATCTTACAAAATTTTTCCATATGTAATTTTCATTAGGCTAAGTTACCTTCTTTGTTCATATATATACACACACACATATATGAATTATATATATATAATACTGTGCTGCACAACGATGTCTCAGTCAATGACAGACCACATATACGACGTTCCATATGTAATTTTCATTAGGCTAAGTTACCTTCTTTGTTCATATATATACACACACACACATATATGAATTATATATATATAATACTGTGCTGCACAACGATGTCTCAGTCAATGACAGACCACATATACGACAGTGGTCAGAGCAACAGGCTATACCATATGCTTGGGTGTGTAGTAGGCTGTACCATCTGGGTTAGTGTTAAGTACTCTATGGTGTTCACAAAAATACAAATTCACCTAGCAAAGCATTTCTCAGAACTCATCGCCATTATTAAACAACACATGACCTTACATATATAAATAAATACTTTCTGAAAAGATACTGTAAACATAGGTGTTATCCAGGTGTATTAACATGCATGTGATGAAAATACTACTCTGAGAGGATGCATCAGGTGATGAAGCAGCAAAGCTTCAGTTCGCTGTTAAGTTCCTGGCCACTCTCCTGTGTTAGCCTCCTCTAACCTGGCTTCTACCTCCCACATCATGTGGAAGTGCACCTCTTTCACAAAATAATAACTTATTTTCAGTCCTTATTCTTAGCTTTTCTGTTTGACCATTCCTCCTTGAAAAGTCCTGCCTTCCTTGGCTTCCTTCTTCCTTGGCAAAAAATATCTGCTTTCCTTCCTCACCACTATGTTTTTTGTTCAGGTTTTTTTTAGCTCCGTTCCAACATCTTTTTTACCTTAAATTAGAAGTATCCTAAGTTTGGTTCAAGTCACTGCTCTTCATACTCTATGCTTTTTCATTATAATCTCTAAGTCTCTTAGGGGGGTTCAAATGCCAGCTTCATGCAAGGACTCCCACAGCTAAATGCCTAACCCTGATTTTAATCTTAAATTCCAGGTCTCCTGTAGAATTGCCTATTAGATGTTTCCACACAGAAGTCCAGCCTTTATCGCAAACCAAATGTGCCAAACCAGTGTCCCCTCCACCAGCTTCCCTGTTGTGTGTACCTTCCACACAAATTCATCCTCCTCCTCCAACCTGCTCTCCTTCTTTTCTCTACTTCATTAAAGAACATCCCTTTCCATTAGTTGCTCAAGCTTAAATCCTGGTGACTTCTTTCCTTAATCCTACCTACCTCACCTGCCCTGTCCAATCACATACAAGGTTCAGTCAATTTTACCAAGCAAATATCTCCAGAATTCAGTCATTTCCCTTTACCTCTCCTACCCACTGTTCAGGCTACCATCTTACTGCTATAGCAGCATCTGTGAGATCTCTTTGCCTCTTTGCTTATTGGCCACTCGATGACCACAGAGACCTTTACTCCTGCTTAAGGCCATTCTCTACTGACCTCAATATCACACTAGAACTCCTTCACACAGCTGACAAGGCCATTCAGAAGCTAGTCCCTGCTTTCTAGTCTCACCCCTTCCACTCAACCCCCTTGAACTCTAGTTTCAACCACAGGGTTGCCATACTCTCTCTTAGAGACCTCTCTGTGTATTTTTCCTTTGCCCGAAACACTCATCCTCCCCCTTCACCCAGCCCTCAGGTCTTCGCTTAGACATCAGGCCCTCTGGGGAAGCTGCTGCATCCAGTGGTCCAGGTCTGGTGCTCCCCAGCACCTCTCCCCACACACTGACACAGTCACTTTACTTGTCTGTGTCTACTTTCACCTTCCTACCAATCCCTATTAGACTGCCTGTTACCCAGCATACCCTCAGCCCAAAGCAGATGTCTAATAAAAATTTGCTGAATTAAATATTATGGAAATTACATCTTTAACAAATTCAATCTTCAAAAATAAACTTCAGATAAAGTTTTTGTTCAGCCTTCACCTTACGCTCTACTGCTTTTTCTTCTGCTTTTTGCATCTCTGCTTTAAGTCGCTTTTCCATGTCTGAGGAAGAGCCTTTGGCAGAAGCAATAGTGATATCTCGCTGATGCAACTCCCGAGTTAGCTGAGAGATTTCCACCTTCATCCCTTCTAGTGCAGAGCTGTAACTTTGTTCAGCCTGTAAAATCTGTTCTTTCAACTACAAAGCAGCAGAAAGGAAAGCACCAAAACTTAAGAGAAAGCATTTAGATAGAAAAATATATAAATGGTTAATAAAATAACATTGGCCTTACCTCAAGACATAAAATTTTCCTAGATTAAATCTACAGAAAATTAGCAATTTACCAAGTTGCATGTCTGTACTGAAGATCAGGCAATTATATCCACAATCATTTATTAGATCTCAAAACAGGGAGAAATGGGTTATTCAAACTCTGAGGACCAGTATCAAAGTCCATACACACTTTACTTAAAGGATAGCACCTGTGACCTTCATCCTTTTTTTAGTTGCAAATCTAAAAATTTTGCCTATATGGTTCTCTGGTCTACAGAAGACAATAAGTAACAAAAAGAAAGACAAGAGGAAGAAAAGGGCTAGAGGTAGTCTCAGAGAAGAAATAAAAAAAAATACAAGTCAACAAATAGGACAGCTAGGGCCCATTAACATGGAGACAAACAGCTCTGCATACCTCAATAGCCAATGAGGATATTAACTGCAAACACAGAAAAAGAAGAAAACATATAGCCACACCCATCTTTAGTCAATAAGAAAATATTAAATGATTTCTCATATCTTTCTTCAAGCAAGAAAGTATATATCTTTTAGAAAGCTTTTCATGAAAACATGCTTAAAGTTTTAGAGTCCAAAGAGGACAGGCTTCAATTATCTTAAAAATATTTATATGGCATCCCTGAGGATGTCAAAGAAAGAAGGCACTTTCCCTAAGCACATCCCAGGTGCTCTTCCAGTCCTGAACGTTTGGACTACATTTTTCTCTCATTAAAAATGACTCCTATAACCTCCCAACCCACAGCTCAGTCCATAAATATATACAGCTTTGTGATCCCAGGCACGCAGATTTTTACCATCTTAATCTCTGCCCTGTACTGATTGTTATATCCTTCCATCTTCTTCAATTCTTCATATTTTTCCATTAGTTCTTGGCTCAGCTGTTTACATGTTGCACTCACAGATTCCAAACTGTATGACAAAAGTAAGATCACATATTTAAAACAAAACAAGAACCCTGAAACCAACAAATTGGATTATCTAATTTACCTTCTTGATGTCCAAGAAATATCCTGCCAGTATCTTAAACATCCCCTCACCCATTTAGAAGATTACATTTCCAAGGTTACTAAAAAGCCAATCAATGAAAAATCTATGATAAAAATGTAAATTTTAGTCCCAATGTCAAAAAACAATAAGCTTTATTTTATTCAACCTAAAGCACACATATCTACCTTGCTAATGATAGCAAAGACTATCTTAAGTATTCCATGTATTCCAAAAGGAGTAAGGCAAAAAATACGTGTGTGTGTGTGTGTGTGTGTGTGTCATGTATTCCAAAAGGAGTAAGGCAAAAAATACGTGTGTGTGTGTGTGTGTGTTTAATACGTAAAGAAAACAAAGAAAATCCTCAGTGGTTTACAAAAACAGAAATAAAAGTGAAAACTAAAAATGTATTACTTAAAGATAACCTAAAAAGTATAAAATGGCTATTTTGTAATTGTTTGCTTAAGTAATAGTTTATGTACTTTTATCTTTTACATATAGAAAATGTTAGTGTACAAATGATCACGATTCATGTGTTTAAAACAAAATATCAAACTCTTCCCAGTCAAAAATTTTATCAGTTTGATAATGAGGCAAGTTAGCTGGGCATGGTACAGCATTAGTCAGGATTCAATTAACACCCAAGGGAGTATCAACACCACTGCAGAACAATTGTGACCTTTCCGAGAACAGTTTCAGTGAGGTGGTAGGGAGGAAAACCTAACTGAAGGGACTGTAAACAGATAAAAGACGAAGAAGTAGAAACAGACAGCACAGACAACTCCTTTGAAGAATCTGGCTTTGAAGGAGAGCAGACAAATGTGGAAGTAACTTGATGGGGATACAGAACTAAAGGAGGGTTTTAATTTTTTTTCTAAGATGGGAAATATTACTGCACACTTTATATCAGTGAAAATGATTCAGCAGAGAGGAAGAACTTGATGATGTAGAAGAAAACAAATAACTGCAAAAATGGGACAAAAGCAGAGGGGTTAGTCTTAGGACACAGGCATTTCATCCAACAGTAACATTACGGGCACAGATCCTCAGATGCATGCAGATTCGTGGATTTGGTGTTAGAAAGATTAAGAAGTTCTGCTCCAGTTGCTTCTGTTCTCAATGAAATAAGAAGTTAGGTCATTTGCGAATCCTAGAGAAAAAAACTTACTTTTTTCACTAAGACTATTATACTCATATTAGTTTACTTTATCAATATGATGATCAAAAATTCATTTTAACAACTTGAAGTTTTTGAAATATGCATATAATTATCTACCTGCCTTCAAGACGAGTCACCTCTGCCTGCAGAAGTTCTTCACTAGTGTGGGTAAAATCCAGTTGGGAGAGGACATTGTCTAAGTCCCCTTGCCCCTGAGGGGTGTAATTCCTGTCTGGCTGGGACTCCTCCAGTGGTCTATGGAAGAACATAAGATGATTAGTAAAGGCCTTTCATTTTTGCAAATGAAAACAACACATAACCAGTTTGTATTTCCCAACCATTTTGGTAATTAAACTCTTTGGAACTCTTCAGTTTGTCTCCTCCTTTACGAAAAAAACACCAGGAGAGTGAAGAGTTAAGAGATGCTGCTTCTCAAAAAAGTCAGCAGCAATTTACTCCTTTCTTAACTGAAATTTTGTTTGTTTGCCAAGGGGAAGAAAACAGACAAAATGGCAAAAACACTGTTGACATTTGATACCTTGAGACAAAGGAACTGAAAAGTTACAAGAGAATTCTGGCAAGAATAAATGTGTTCACTAGACTTAAATCAAGCAAAGGCAGCATAGCTCCCACTACAAACCTCTCATAGCAATCATTCAGATATAAAAACAAAATTAGTTTTAGAAATGTTTTTAAAAGGGTGAGCTCAAAGGCTGGGTGTATGAATCATGACCTATTCTACTAAGAAAGGGAGGCCTTCCAGGAGTCGTGGACTACAATTCCCTTCACATCCAGAGTTTCACCAAGGGTGCAGACTGACCACAGGGTTTCCAACTTTCTAAACACCAGAATCTCTGTTAGGGACTCCATGCAAAATTTTATAACACTATAAAGAGTCTAACTCAGAAATTAAAACTGAATAAGAGAACCCACAATATAATCAAACACAAAATCTATAAATATGCAATATTAAAACTGGTGCTTAATGCCAAACCACCAAGTGGCTAAGATGAATAATATTTAAGATTAAATATACCTTATGGCTTCTACTGGATGTTGAGTGTTAGTTGCCTTTAATTTTTCCTGTAGCTTCTCCATTCTTGCCTTACGAATTAAATTTTCTTGAGACTGAAGAGCTGCCTTCAATTCTTTCTTTTCTTCCTGCAGAGCCTACAAAATACTCAGAAAAAAAGTCAGATGTTATTGCAATTTTTATATTTCATAAGAAAAGGAAGCCAGGGAGTCAGACTGTAAGTTATATAACAAGCATGATAGTTAAAAAGCTATCAATATCTGATCCATCAGCTACACAGTAGGGAAGAATCCATAAATTTTGGAACCTAGTTCTAGGTTAATTATTCTCTCTCAAAACACTCATATACACATTTCCCCCAATCACAGTAACTTTAAAACACACCTCTAATAGTTTTTCTGATTCCCTCAATTTTTCCTCTTTTTGCCGCTGTTCCTGCAGAACAGCCATATTGGTTCCAGCCAGGTCATTGACCCTCATGGTGAGGCGCTCTATTTCCAACTCATTGGCACAGATAGTGTCATTGGCCCGCTCCAGCTTACTGCTCAGGTGCTGAATTTCTGACTGACTAGAAAGTTCCACAGACTCTAATTTCTGTTTCCGATTGGCAAGCTGAGCCTAGAAACACATAGATTATGAACAGGTAAAAGGGAAATGCTAAAAGGACAATCAATAAATAAACAAGATTAAAATTAAACTGAGTTTCATTTCCATAAAAACATAAAGCATTAGCTTACTAAAAATATATAATAAGTATCTTGAGAAGAAGGAGTAAGAAAGAATTGAGAAAGTAAAGGGATTCCCCAGGAGAAGAGATGCTGTCCATCTACCAAAAAGACAGCTGCATTATTCTACTTACTTGCACAGAAATTCACCTGCAACTATGAGCCATCATATAAGAAAACCGTGGTTATCTCCTATCTAAAACACAGGAAATAGGAGCTATAACGTATTATCTATTTTTTATGAAAGTTCAGAAATTAAAATTTTGAAAACCATTGAACTTAATTTTTAGTTCAAATTTTCCCTTCTCCACTGACAGCATGTTGCAAGCAATTATTCTGTTTTAACATTCTTTTCAGATACATTACAAACACTCATATTCAGGTTATTCAAACTGACCACAAAATGCTGTTTAAATTAGGAAGGGTAGGAAGATTGAGGTTTTGTTCGTTGAGAATAAAGGTGCTTAGAGAGGAGGAGAGACGGGTTCTGTTATCAGTTTTTGGACATTTCCTGAGCTAAGAGATTTAACCACATGCTATAGTGCATCTCAAATTTGTTTCTTTCAATGATATACTTACTGAAGTACAGGCAAATAAAACAACTTTAACAGCTATCTCACAGATCTGTAGTATATACTTCCTAACTTTTAGGCTACACATCCCAGCTATACTGGTTTAACTCCCAACTCACTAGTTTTCACAAGTTTTAATCCAGCATCCAGACTGGTACTTCATCTATACACTGAAGATGGACAAAAATCATCTGTGGAGGTAAACTTCCCATATTCTAAATATTTCTAAAGGTAAAGGCACACAATTTTTTTTTAAATGCCCATAAGCCAGAGAGAAGGTAGGAGGAGAAAGGCAACAAGATAAATAGTGTTTATATAAATTACAGATAAAGATTCCAGTGAAAAGAGCAAAAAATTTTTTTTACCAGATCTCTACAATAGTGTGAAAAAAGGATATCAACATAGATTTAGATTCACTAGAATAACTGCTAAGCATGTAATTATGTCCAAAATTTTAAATACAAAATAACCTTTTTTTTTTTCCAAGAGGAAATCTTATACAGAATCCTGTGCAGAATAAATAAATGCAGAGACTGGGTGAGGATGAGAAGGAGAAAAGGGCAAAAGCCCAGCTTGCTGAACCTCCCCCAACCCTACTTAAAGTTAAGCCTGCACAGCAGCCCTGGGGCTTGCGAGAACACAGCTGGAACACCACTGCCTGAATGGGCATTCAGGATGAAAATGGCCGCATAATTGCAAAACACTAGCATTGTTTCTTAACACTGCAATAGCTATTTAACACTATTCAACTCTGTGATCTTAAAGTAAACTCAGTGTTGAAGTTAGAATTGAAGCTGTATTTTAACTAGTGAGTACAGATCTGATTAAAAACTAACCAACTTCTCAGTTTTAAAGGATCAAGAACATAGCCTTCTTTTATTGATTTACTAATTCAGTCATGCAAAAATACATGGTGTTTTTAAGCACAGTGAAAAATACATAATCATCTCAAGTACAAATTCTAAATTTTCATTAACTAGAATACATACACTAGGCCTGCGCTGTCCATTATCATGGCAGTCACTAGCCACATGTGTTTACTGAGCACCTGAAATGTGGCTAGTCTGACTTGAGATGTGCTCTAAGTGTAAAATACGCACTGCATGCCAAAGACTCAGTTAAAAAAAGATGTAAATGTTGTAAGGATATTTTTGACATACAGGGTTGAGTAAAATATATATATATATTTCTAATTTATTTTATTTATTGAATCAAAATCGATTATACATATTTTGGGGGTTGAATATTGAGATATGTTGATTAAATCAATATTACTAGCATATATATTGTTACAAATCATTAAGTATTCTTTATGCCCCTTGTCCAATCACTCCCCTTCCCCCATTCCCTTCCCCTCCCCGCTCTAATTGCCCTAGATTTCTTCTCTCCTTCTGAAAGAATAATGGTCACTCTGTTATTTGTTGCCTAGATGATCTGCCCCATGCTGAGAGATATGATCAGGTCCCCCAATATTATCATAGAGCAGATGCTTCTTCTGTCCACTCTGAAATGGGTTTTTTGGAAAGAGACATCCCCTTCTTTTCTTTTTCTCTGTTGGTGACTCTTGTGTGAACTCACTCCAGTGGTTGGCGGACCATCTGCGTGGTAGCTGTGGCATCCAGCTGCTTTTGCGGCAGCCATGGTTATTGCGGTGGCTGTGGTGGGCCACTCACATGTAGGTGCTGTTTTTGGTATGCTCCTTAGCACTGGCGGTATGCCTGGTTGTAGGGTGTGTTTGGTCCCCTTTTCCATACCTCTGGTCCCTGGGCAAGCCCCAAGGTGCTGGCACCATGTGCCTGGTTATGGGAGGGGTGGCCAGTCCCCTTCTCCATGCCTCGGGTCACCAGGCGAGATCCAAGGAGCTGGCTTGGTGTGCCTGGTTGTGGGAGAGGGGTCTGTTCCTGTTTTCCATGCCCCAGGTCCCTGGGCAGTCCCTGAGGTGCTGGCGCAGTGTGCCTGGTTGAGGGAGGGCGGTCTGGTCCCCTTTTCCATGCCTTGGCTACCGAGGTGGGCCCCGAGGTGCTGGTGTTTTGTGCCTGGTGTGGGAGGAGGGTCCAGTCCCCGGCTCCATACCTCAGGTCACTGGGCGGGAACTGAGGCACTGGCTTGGTGTGCCTGGCTGTGGGAGAGAGGTCCAGTCCCCTTCTGCATGCCTCGGGTCCCTGGGTGGGCCCCAAGGTGCTGGCGTCATGTGTCTTATTGTGGGAGGAGGGTCCGGTTCCTGGCTCCATGCCTTGGGTCACTGGGCAGGATCCAAGGCGTTGGCTTGGTGTGCCTGGTTGTGGGAAGGGTTCCGGTCCCCTTCTCCATGCCTCAGGTCCCCAGGTGGGCCCCGAGGCACTGGCACAGTGTGCCCGGTTGTGGGAGAGAGTCCAGACCCCTTCTCCATGACTCAGGTCCCCAGGCAGGGCCCAAGGCACTGGCTTGGAGTACCTGGTTGTGGGAGAGAGGTCCGGTCCCTTTCTCCGTGCCTCGGGTCCCCAGGCTGGCCCTGAGGTACTGGCGCAGTTTGCCTGGAAGTGGGAATGGGGTCCGATCCCCGGATCCACGACTCTGGTTCCCAGGCAGGCCCCAAGGTGCTGGTGGTGTCCCTGGGCCAGAACTAATTTTTTGTCCTTTGCTTCTAACATGGGGGAACTTCCTGTGGGAACCAATACTTTAGCGGTGTGGTTGTTTAAATTTTTGTTTTGCTGCTGTTTCCCTAGGGAAGGCTTTTTGTGCAGCTCAGGGTTTAATGGTTGATCTTATAGGTACTTCGGGCTCTCCAGAGACACTGTGGATCTGTGTTCTGTAGAATCTCTGATCTGGGCCTGAGTTTTTTCATCAAACTGCACCCCATGCAATTCTGCATTCCTGACCATTCTCCTCTGAGTGATCCTGTGCTGTTTGTAGGGCAGGTTGGCTGTCCTTGCTGTGTCCCAGTGTTCTCCCGGTGTTCCCATCTCGCCCACCGCCCATCCTCCAAACACTTCCCATGGGATGGGCCCTGTGCTAGTCCCTTGTGATGACTTGCTGGCCTCTGAATGGCTCCCTTTTTTCAGTTGTTCTGGCTCCTCGCTCTTGTGTGGGTCCCTGGGAAACTTATTAGCGGTCTTGCTGTCCTAGGGGCCGCCAAGGTCCTCTTCTTTCTTGCTGCTTCCAAGTAACTCCATCTGAAGGGCACAGCTGCAGCTTCTGGCGGCTCCTGCTCCATGTGCTAATCAGCTGGAGCCTTAAAGCAGCTGGGGCCTGAAATGCTCAGAGCAGCTTTTTCTTTCTCTCATCATAGTTTCTCCAGCCTTCATGAACTCCGTAGGTCTCTCCTCCTCTTTCCCTGAGCTCCAGCGGCCCCAGCTTGGCTGATGTTACATTTTAATAGTTGTAAATTTGGTTGATTTGTGGGAGAGAGTGGCGCTGAGAACCATCTATTCTGCCATCTTGACCAGAACCCCAAAATATATTCTTATAACTAATTTTACCTGTTTCTCTTTACCTTTTTAATACGATTACTAGAAAATTTTAAGTTACAAATGTGACTCATATTTCTATTAGCACTGCACTAGACTAATCTCAAGGATACCTCTCCTAATACTAAGAAAGTCAGAAATAATCACATAAACCACCTATAATGATTTTTTTTCTCTTAAACAGCTGGTTTTAGAGATATTTTAAGGTTAATATACTTTCTAAACTTTTTTTTTGCACTAACCACTAATTTTTTGAACCAGAAACCAGAAATTTCTCTTATTAATTTAACATTTAGAATTCTAAATTCTATTCTATTAGAGTGGGTGGAGTTATTTCAACCACATAAGTCACAGCAGAGGTGGTAAAAAGTAAAGAAACAATTAAGAAGGCAATTTACATCAAAGAGACAGAAGCAAAAGCCAAGGGTGAGCAGCTAGTGTGAGAGAGAACAGGGAAGTGGCTGGGGATTGGGGGTTGAATTCAAATCCTCTTCTGGATTTGTGGTATGAACTTCCTGGTGCTTCAAGAAAATGACTCTACCAGATAGTAAGATTATTGAACACAATGTGATATGAAGCAACAGGGCTTTTTATTTTCCAAAGGATCCCTGTATGAAGGCATGACCATTGCAGACATCAATCCCTTACCAAGCTCCCCATCACTGTCAACTCCAAATATGTGAGTGTAGGCAACAGCCTCGCAGCATTCGCACTAGGCAGTAGCTTGAAGAGCCTACTAAGAATACAGCTCCCAGTAAGATCCTCTTATCACTGTTGTGTCTGTGTCACTAAAAACTTTTAAACAGTAGGCCTGAGCCAGACAATTCGATTAATTCTTATAATTCTACCAAGACAAGAGATTAACATTTGAGTTAGTATCATCTTTTCTTCATAAGTTGTGACAGGAAAATGATGCTTTTAAACATATAATCAATGCATATAATTGAACAGTAGATTTTAAATGAACTTGAACAGTATCTCATAGTTCATCTAAATATTTCAAGAGAAAAATGTATATAATGCAAACTCTGCTTTTCTCACATATTGTTTACCAGCTAAACATTTTACACTTTAGGTTGACTTAATATTTTAATTTTTTTCAAATGTTCTTAATGTTCTCTAAGATTTCCCTGAATATTTCTTCTTCATAATTGTACTGTTTAAGCAAGGGGGAAAGTAGCAGATGATTCCTTGCCTTATAGACAGAAATGACTTTGTATTTTCATCTATATTGATCCTTTTCCTGTGCTTATATAACCATCATCTGTCATTGCATCTAATAATATCACATTGTTTAACAACTGTACTTTTTATGATAGATCAAACATTAAAATACATTTTAATATTTGATAGAACCAACCATGACTCTTCTTTTAAAAAATGTTGACTAGTATCATTCATTTATCATTCCATATAAATTATATTTATTTTTCCCCTCTTCAATTCCCCCCATATAAATTTTAGAATCATGCTGTCAAATTCTCAAAATGTAACAGTCAATAAATTATGTGGTTAATTATTTGAAAAAAAATTTTAGATACCTATCAAATACCTTACACCAAAATAATTTTTAGATAAAATATATTAAAAAGAAGTTATACAGCATCAGAAGAAATCTTGGCTTAGGTAAGACTTTATAGTATGACGTCAAAGATAGAAACACCAAAGAAAAAATTGATATAATTAAGCAATTCTAAATAATTGTTTATAAAACAATTGTATTTCCATAAAAACCACTCGGCAAAATTAAGGTAAATTGGGTAAACACACACAACTGCAAAATAACAGCAGAGGGCTAATACTTCATACTTAATATATAAGAAGCTCTTTCAAAATAGTAAAACATAAGCATCCTAAAATAAAAATGAGCAAAGAACACAATTTACAAAAGAATGAAAATAGCCATAAATAAATGAAAATAAAAATGCTCAACCTCACTCGTAATTTAAAAAATACAAACTAAAACAATCAGATACCATTTTTTTCACCTATAAGATTGGCAAAGACAAGCCTGCAAGTGGGGAAAGTCAAAAGAACTGACCATGCCCAATGCTGGGAAAGTGTGAGGAAACGGACACGATCACATACCGCTGGGGAAAGTCTGCATCAGCACACCTTTAGAGAAAACTCTGGTGATACATGTTAAAATCTTTAAGAAGGTACAACTACTCTGATGCAGCAATTTCACTTCTACAGCCATTTCCTAAGCAAATAAATAGGCAAACACTCCTAAATGTTTATATAAAGATGTTCATCCAAGTACTATTAACAAGAGTGAAAAGTAAGACACTAAATGTTCTACAATCAAGGACTGGTTACACAAATTATGATACGTTTAATGATACAGTGGACTTCTACGCAATCATTGTAAATACACATTTGTTTACATGTCACATTTAAAAAAGAAAATTTTCAAATTTGTGAAAATTCAATAAAATACTTTATTATAAAGTGCTTAACATAGTGCCCATCACATAGTAACCACTCTATACATTTTTAAATTATGTTCCATGGAAATCTTCAAACATACACAAATATAGAAATAAAATGGTGAACCCTGATATATCCACCACTTATCTTCAAAAATTACCAACACTTTACTATTCTTGGCATTTTTCAAAGTTTGCAACTTCCCTATCCATCCCATACACAGTGTGTACAATTTTTTTCCTACTAAATGTACATGAATGTAATGTTCACTGTATATAAGCATAGAAAAAGTCAGAAGAAATTTACACCAAGATGTTAATCATAGCAAATCTCTAAAGGTGAAATTATGGGTGGTTTTATTTAATTCTCATTTTACCTGCATTTTCTCACTATACTAAAATGAACATGTATTATATAATTTTAATAGCTGACTGAAAGAAAAGAACTCAAGCAAATATATAACTCAAAGAGTGAGAAATTATTATTGAATTCCACTTTCAGATGTTAAAAAAAAAAAAGAAAAAAAATTACATCAAGAATTTTTTTAAATGGGAGGGGGAATGTTGATATCCATTTACCCAATCTCTCAGATTTTCTACTGTTATTGTTCAATGGTGTCCCACATATCAACCAAATACAATGTGTTAACCTTAACTGGATTCTGACTCAAACATCCAAGTGTAAAAAAAGTTTTTTTAGATACCTGGAAAAATTTGATCAGACTGGATATTAAATTATATTAAGAAGTTATTTATTCTGTTAATGTGATGCTGGTGTATTGTAGTAGTTGTTTTTTTTAAGTCCTTACTTGTTGGGAAATAAGATGATGACTGCACTTTGCTCTGTAATATTCCAGCCAAAAATAAAAAGAAGGGAAGGGTATAGAGTTTCAGTTTTACGAGATGAAAAAGTTCTAGAGACCTGTTGCGCAACAATGTGCATACAGTGAACATTAATGTACAGTACGCTTAAAAATAGCTAAGGTGACAAATTTTATGTTTTTACCAACCACAATAAAAAAAGATTGGCAAGATAATGATAATTACTGATTCTAGGTAATAGGTATACAGAAGTTTATTTAAATGTTTAAAAAATGATCATACAGTACTAGCACATACTGAATCACAGAAATAATTTTGTTTAGTTTCTAAGAGAGAATGATAAGTACATTTATAATTAACATTTTTTTTAGGTAAACAATCAGACATTCCTAGTTTAAATGGAACTTTCAGAAACATAATTCAAATACTCTTAGTAGGGAAAACAAATGCTGGCTCTTTAAAGAATTCTTATTCTAGCCCTAGCTGAATTATGGTAAATAAAAATCCCATTTTTACTAACAATGAATTTTTAATTATGTAGGATCAATAATCACAATAGTAATTTGAAATAGGCTAACAGTAATTTGAAAAAAAAAAAAAAAAAGGACCTGCAATCAATTATAGCACTCCATGGATAAATAATTGAGAACTGTAAAAATTAGGGCTCAATTTGCTTTTTTGCCAACCTAAAAGCTATAATTAGAATATAATGATATCTTATAGTTATTTAGTTTGAATGTTTTAGCATTCAAGTAAAAAAAAAAACCCTGGCCTTGACTTCTCAGGATTTCCCTGGCCTGCTCTGGCTGCATAGCTTGCTGCAGCCCAGAAAATAGCTTTCTTTCTTGGGGTTGCTGTGGGTCTCTCCTGCCATTCTGAGTAGAGTCACTCACAGCAGAGCCATTTTTGGTAGCTTATCAGACAGCTGATGATATTTCAGAGGGACGAACATATAGCCAATACATTACTGAGACTTAAAGCAGCAAATAAATACAGATGTTTTTAAAAAACAAAAAAAACCTTCCTTCTAACTCTCTTAACTTACCTAGTCTATTCCTTCACTCTGTAACATTGAGATAACTACCAACCTTGATGGATTACTACGATATTAAACAGATAATATACACAGACTGCACCTAGAAGAAACACTGAGATGGTATCTAGCACGTTATAGATGGTCACAAATACTCATTTCCCTTTGTGTTCTTGATTCTAATTGAAAAAGCAAACAAGCTGAATATGTTCTAAGAAGACAAATTCCTAAATTAGGTGTCTATTTTTTGTTTGTGCTTAAGCTATGAGTTCTTCATAAAAAAAAAAAAGTTTCTACCAGTGTTACAAAAAAGTGTTTCTGCTGCCACAAAGATATTACTTTTGGCTAGTGTGTGCACCAAATCAGTGTGAGTCTCTCAGCATCTGTGTCCAATCAGATAAGCTAACTGAACCTCCCTGGCTGATGCACCTCAGCTAGGTGCCCCAGCTATCACAGAGACAGAGCAAGCCAGGACAGAAGTAGAGCTAAGACAGCCAATGACAGAGAGAGAAAGAAATGGAAGAGAAGGTGGGAGGAGAGAGGGAAAGTGAGAGACCAAAATTAGGAGAGTGAGCGTGGATGTGCAAGACAGTGACAGAGAATGACTGAGCCAGTGAGAAAGAAGTGTGGATACTACTCTGCCATAGAAAAGAATGAAATTCTGCCATTTGCAGCTACAGGGATGAACTTGGAGAAAATTATATTAAGTGAAATAAGCCAGGCAGAGAAAGAGAAATATTGCATGTCCTCACTCATAAATGGGAGCTAAAATGAAAGAAAAGAAAGAAAATCACAATAATACATTAATTAAACTTTCAAAAAAAGGAGAACAGAACTGTGGTTATTAGAGGTTGGGAAAGGGGGAGGGAGGGGGGATTGGCAAGAAATTTTTAAGGGTCACAAAGACTGATTACATTTTGCAAACATGAGTATACTAATTATCCTGATTTGATCACCACATACTGTACACATGTATTGATACTCGATTCTGTACCCCACAAATACATATAATCAATAAAAAAAAAATGGTGAGAAAAAAAGAGTGAGCTAGCATGTGCGCATGTGTGCAAAGGAGGAGATACATATCTGGGCGTGTCTAGATGCTGAAGAGGACATGCCTGAAACTAGAGGAGGGTCGGCTCACTAGCTTACTATATAAGAAAGAGAGCAGGGTTAGCAGAGAGAAACTGAAGAGACTGAATGGCACCAGGAGCTGCATTAAGGTAGTTAGAATTTAATCAAAACCTGTCTGCCTCTCATTATTTTAAAATGTGTTAGGCCTACCTGAATTATCTCTGATTGTTCAGCCAGCGCCTTCCTTTGTGCCTCTAGAGAAGATACCTGTTGCTGATAAATCAAGCGTTGCTTCTCCCAGTCCAGTGATTTCTGACGAAATTCCTGAGGAGGCAATTAAGGTACTTAACTTCTAAGTGCTTCTCTTAGCTGTCACTACTTCCCAGACTCACTTTTGATTTAATTTTTCCCCATTTCCCTCAGTACACTGCACCTTCCTCCGCAGCAGGAGCCCCATTACTCACTTAGCTGATAGAACTGTAGAGTAATACTGAATTCCTCACATACTGTGCCTCTTTATATCTGTCTTTCTAAATTTAACACCCTAATGGTGAAGACTATGAAACACAGATGCTGAACACTGGGTTCATGATGACTTTCATAGATTTGCTGCCACCTAAGGGATATTCTAACTTCTTGTGATTTTTCAAAACATTGATTCTAAGATAACTAAAATATCAAAAAATGATTACAGATGTGCCTCACCGCCTAAATTTTTGATATCCAGAACCAGAAATTGAATAAATTCAAATAAATTTTCAGATAAGTTTGTTGGTAGCCCAATTCTTACTTCTCAGTATCTAAAACCTCAGGAACCAAGTAGATTCAGATAACAAAATATTCTTTAACATCCAAATTTTTATTATCTCAACAGATTTTAATAACAAATTTTAATAACAAAGGAAATCTGTACTAAATTTTAACAGATATTGTAACCCAAAGCCAAAACAATTCAAAATTAATGATGGATCAATAGTAACTTCAGATTGCATGATCAAGAAAATGAGTCCAATATTTATAAAAATGGAGCAAAATATCTATGGAGGAAAGAATACCAAGAAACTCAAAGGCCAGTTATGCTGTCTTAATAAAAACAAAGTCAGCAAAGAGGGAGCTGAATGGCTTACTATATCTAAATGCAAACTGGGGATAAGCAATCTGATATACGGAATACTCTGAGCAATCTGATATATGGAATACTCTGAAAAAAAAAGCCACGTACTTTCCACATTTACGAAGCCCCTACTCTATTAGGTGCTTGAGATACAATGATAAATAAGAAAAGGACATGGCCCAGGAAGGACTGCTAGTAACTGGCAGTCAATGTTTCTCAATGGGAGAGATACTGGTCTTTAGGTACAATAATCCTTCCTGTGTGGAACAGTCCCAGGCATGTTCAGTATGCCTGGTCCCTGCCCCTAAATGCCAGTTTCATGCTCAGTCATTCTGACAACCCAAAAAAATGTTTCCATACATTTCCAAATGCCCTCTAAGGGTGGTACTGCCCTGTTGAGAATTATTGATAGCTAGTAACCCCATTAACCACAGGGAACCAGACGATGATAAGATATATAGTGGATTACCCTCCTACCTTTGAAATAGCTCAGTGGCAGTCCTGGAGATGGCAGAAAATTGGCTTCAGGAAATAGCACCATTAGAGGCAGCATTTTCCTACATGAAGGCTGACAGTCACTTTGAACAAATTATTACTGAGAACATACCTCTATTTTTCCAGTTAACCTCTCAATTTCAGACTGGTCCTCCCTGTGATTTTTGGTATTTCCTCGGAATTCCCTCATTTGCTTTTTCTGCAGCTTCTCATAGCTTCTCTTCAATCTGCCTAACTATAAAGACAGTTATTTCTATATTGAAAACTTAAAAATTTGTAAATGGTGATGGGACAAATTGGTATCATGAAAGTAAGAGCAGTGCTAACCAGTACTATTGAAAATAGATTGACAGCATGTTAGATTTGCAAACTAAAATAAAAAACAAAACTCAAAATTATATATGGAAAACAAACACTAGCAAAGAAATATATTCAAATAAAAAATTTTTCAAAAAGATAATTTTTTAAACAAAACTTAAATTTTATTACAATAGCCCTGCATTAAGGACTCCACCGCCCACCCCCACAATAAAAACAGCAAATAAAGTTTCTTTCTCTTTCCTCTAGGCCTGTGGTTCAGAAGCCTTGCTCCTGTGGGCACTGATATTCACTAAGCAGGAGAAGAGTACTTCAGAGTTAAATCAAAATAAAAGCAGTTTTTTCCAAATCTGAAGAATAAAATTGAATTAATGGATAAAATTTTCTTACTTTTCTTATTCATCCAAAAATGCTTCTTAAACCTTTGGATCCTCCATTATTTAAAATCTAGTAACTGATTTAACTCAAAAATCAAAATATTAAACTTTTTTTTGGTATCAATATTTCACAGTATTATACAAAAATAGCTCTATTTCTTTCAGGTACTCAACCAAGAAACATATTTTAGAATGCCTGTTCTAGGTAGTAACAAACATATAATTAGGAAAGATTCTTTGCCTGGACTCAAGGACAGAGAAATAGTTTTCCACCCCTGTACCTCCCATTGGAATATGTACTTCCAATATCAGGAAGTAGAAGCTAGCTCTCATTAACAAAATTCTCAAGGGTTAAAGAGACAGAACTACACAACATGTAACAGAACTAAATCTTACTTCTTCATGTAGTTTCTTTAACTCCTGCTTATACTCCATGGCCATCTCTTGCTTGACTTTTTCATGTTCTTCTACCTGGTGATGCAACATTCCAACCTAAAAGCAGATAGGTGGTAGCTTTCATTATTAGGATTGAAATAATATTCCTTTAACATAAAAATAGGAAATAACCTTTGTACTTATTTGTAAGCTTAAATTCTCAAATTATATACCGCATACAGTAATACCCTCTTCTCAGGAAGTTGAAAATAAGTTTTTAACGATCTATGACCCTGCCAAAAAATGAGAACAAACAACTATTCTAGAATTTCTAGGTTCAGATGAAAACTTGCTCTTTGATTCATTCTCCACAACCCTTTCCATCAAAAAACACATGAAATAACTAAGACATATAAAGGTTTAAGAACCAAGACTACTTCATGCCCACTTCCCCACTCTTATTCAACACAGTACTAGAAGTACCGGCATAATGTGACATGTGGAACCCCTGAAGAGCACAGAAAAGTTCTGGATTGATCTAGGTTTCCCTGATCTCTTGGCAGTTTGAATCTCTTCGTTCTTCACTAATAAATCAGATAAATGCCAACATTACATATATCCTACCTATCAATAAAGAGACAGGTAGAAAGTAAAGACAAGGGGCAATGACAAGAATTGAAGGCTTTTCCTCTAAGATCTGGAACAAGACAAGGATGCCCACTTCCCCACTCTTATTCAACACAGTACTAGAAGTACTGGCATAATGTGACATGTGGAACCCCTGAAGAGCACAGAAAAGTTCTGGATTGATCTAGGTTTCCCTGATCTCTTGGCAGTTTGAATCTCTTCGTTCTTCACTAATAAATCAGATAAATGCCAACATTACATATATCCTATCAATAAAGAGACAGGTAGAAAGTAAAGACAAGGGGCAACAAAGATTATCTCCACAAATCTGTTAATTAATGAGGAAATGCAGATGACAGAATGCCAGATCCTAAAGAAACAAGGGAAAGAAATACAGATTTGATCTAATAGGTAGGATACAATTCATATATTTCAATCTTTCTTGTGTACTATGGTTTCCTAAGAATTTTCTATTACATCTAAATTTTCAACTTTTTTGAGGGGTATAAAGTCATTCACAATATCTTTTTATACTCCTTTTACTATCCATAGGCTGTATAGTGTTTTCTCTTTTTAATTGCTAACATTATTTTTCTCTCTTTTTTCTTGATTAGACTTACCAGGATTACCAATTTTGTTAATTTTTTTTCAAAGGACTAACTATGGCCTTATTTATCCTTTTTTATAAATTGTTTTCTATATCATTAGTTTCTGCTCTTATATTTGTACATCTTTTCTTTCTCTTTTTCATGCCTTCAATTTGCTGTTATTTTTTCTAATTTCTTGAAATGGATTCTTAGATCAGTGAGTTTCAGCCTTTCTCTTTTTATGTATGTATGTACGCATGTATGTATTTATACTTATAGCTAAAATTCTCTCTCGACTCCACATTAGCTGCATCCCACAAATTTTAGTATGTAGCAAGTTCATTATCATTCAGTCCAAAATATTTTCTAATTTTCATTGTTATTTCTTCTTCACTCATGGGTTATTTATAGGTGTATTGCTTAATTTCCAAGCATTTGAAGATATTCTGGTTTTCTTTTGTTGCTTTGAGTTCTAGCTTAAATCCACCTTGGTGAAGAAACATGATTTTAATCCTATGAAACAGGTTGAGATCTGCTTCATGGCAGTAGTGGTAAATGTTCCATATTTATTTGAAAAGAATGTGTATTCAGCATCTACTAGGTATAATGTTCTATTTAGGTTAATTAGGCAAATATGTTCTTTTAATCCTATGAAACAGGTTGAGATCTGCTTCATGGCAGTAGTGGTAAATGTTCCATATTCATTTGAAAAGAATGTGTATTCAGCATCTACTAGGTATAATGTTCTATTTAGGTTAATTAGGCAAATATGTTCATCTTGATTTCTTCACCTTAAGTGATTTTTCTGTCTCCTTGTTCTGTAATTGAGAGTGTGTTAAAGTCTTCCACAATTACCATGAATCTAATTTTTCCCTTAATTCTGTCCGTTTTTGCTTGTATATTTTAAGGCTACACTATGAAGTAGTTACAGAATTGAATTACCAAAGCAACCTGATGAATTAACCCTTTTATAATTTTTAAATGCCCCTAATAGTATTGTTTTTGGACTTAATGTTTACCTTGTCTCATGTTACATCAGTTTTCATGGAATATCATTTCCAAGCTTTTACTTTCAAGGGTTTTTTTTATTTCCTTCTTTCTACAGTCTTTGGATTTAGCAAGTTCTTTTCCTAACCTCTTGAGATGAATTATTACCTCACTGATTTTCAGCCTTTCCTCTTTTCTAATATATGCTTTTACAGCTATAAATTTCCCTCTGAGACATCTTACCTGCATCCTACAAGTTTGATATGTAGTATTTTCATTATCTTTCAATTCAAAGTATTTTCTAATTTCCACTATAATGTCTTCTTTCATCCATGAATTATTGAGAACTTTTATGTTTTAATTTCCACCAAATATACACAGATTTTCAAGGTATTTTTTTCTAACTTGTTTCTACTATGTTCAGAGACCATATCTATGATTTCAAGCCTTTAAACTGTGTCAATTTACTTTGCAGCCCAGGATATGATCAGTTTTGGTAAGTGTTCTTTCTGTTGATCATGCTGCTCAAATCTGATCCTTAACTGATATTTGTCTCTTGTTCTACCAGGTACTAAAAAAATATGTTATGATTGTGGCTTCATCTATTTCCCCTTGTGTTTCTGGCACTTTTTGCATATAGATAAGGGAGAGAAAAAAGAGAGAATTTTCTTTTAAAACTATTTCATTAGATAGAAATTTACATTCTTACAAATTTACATTCAATTTACAAATTTAGATTCTTTTTCTTAGTTTGAGCTCCCCCAAAAGTGTGGCCTGAGACATGGACTTCAGGGCAGATAATCGGAGGTGACTCCAGGAAGCACAGTGAAGAAACAGAGATGGGAGGAAGGAGAACCAATAAAGGATGTATTACTGAGCAGATGACTGCAGTAAGGAGCTGAGGTTAAATTCCACCAGGAACCCCCTAACGAACCATACAGAACTGTCACTCTGAGGAAGAGAAAGTTGGAGAATTTATCTACTGATTTCAGTCCCTCCACTACTTGAGGCTTGCCCTGGGAATGTTAGCTCTCCCACACTTCCAGATTTCACCTGAGCAGCTTTCGTAGGCCCCAGAGAGAGAAGCATAGTGCGGTAAGATGCTGGCTACGCATGGGGAGATATATATAATAGCTAAAATGAAATCAGGGGGCAGGGGGATGTGGTATAGGGCACAAAGAATGCTACAGTTACATATCCTGAAATCTCATATTTTTTATCATTACAAAGTGTCTCTCTTCACATTTAGTAATGCTCTTTGCTTCTGCTTCAAGTATACTTTTTCTGAAATAGTTACGCCATCTTTCTATTGAGTGTATTTGCATTTTATATATTTTTATTTTACCTTTTACTTTCAACCTTGCTGTATAATAAACATCAAACAATTGTGTTTAATTATTTTTATACAGTTAAACAATGTTTATATTTTAATTAGGCTAGTTACTGCTTTTACATTTAATGGACCTATTCGGATTTAAATCTATCATCTTAAGTATTTATACTTAAGCTCTGTTTCTTTTTCTCTCCTTTCTTGCCTTCTTTGGTATCTATTACTTTTATCATTCCATTTTTCTCCTTCTATTAGCTGGTAAGATATACTCTATTAACATATACTCTTAACGGTTCTCTCAAAATTAAAACATGGTTTTGTGACTTAAAGTCTAACATTGCTGAGTAGTTTTACCAATTCCCGGGCAACTCAAGGACTATAGAAATACTTTAATTCCATTTTTATCCAACCTGATTTAAATATGCCATCATTGCCACCATAATTTTACATGTATGTTAAACTCAAAAGGCTATTATTGTTGTTTTAGATAGTTAATATTCATTTAGGTTTACCCAAACATTTACTGTTGCTTTTCTTTTTTTCCTGCAGCTCTCTGCTTCCATCTGGGATCATTCTCCTTCTATCTGAAGAACATTCTTTAATATTTCCTTAGCACAGGTCTGCTCATGGCAAATTCTCTCAATTTTTGTTGGTCTGAAAATGTCTTTAATCTTTATTCTGGGTATAGAACTCTGGCTTGGCAGGCGGAAAAGTTATTTTCTTTTTTTATAGATATCATTCCACCGTCTTCTGGCTTTTACTGTCCTGTTGGTTTACAAATCAGCTATTAAGAGGTGCTTGTAGGTAATCTTCTTTCTTTGATTGCTTTTCAGATTTCCCCTTTGTCTTTGGTTTTCAACCTAGGTAAATGTATTTCTTTTTATAATGTTGCTTGAGATTTCTGGACTTCTTAAATACATGGCCTTCCTCACTTTTGGCAAAATCTCAGGCAATATCTCTTCAAATATTGGTTGTACCCATCCTTACTCTTCTCTCTCCTTCAAGGATTCCAAAAATACTTTTATTAGACCTTCTCACTGTATCTTCTTTCTTTTATCCTTTCATCTATGTATTTTTATCATCTTTTCTGTGCTTTACTCTAGCATTTTCTTCTATCACATCTTCTGGTTCACTAATTATCTCTTAATCTTTAAGGCCCTAATCTATTATTCTCTTTTTCAATTTTAAAATTTCTACTCATTTCTTTTTATAGTTTCCAACTCTTTCTTCAAATGTTCCATCTAATCTTTCATCTCCTTGAACACAGCAAACATTGTTATTGTAAAATCTAAGCATGAGAATGCCAATGTCTAGATTTATCCCAGTCTGTTTCTATCTTCTGTTGGTTCTACTATTTTTCATTTTTGTCACCTTTTCTCCTTGTGTATCTGGGGTTATTTTCTGAGTGTGTACCAAGTTTTCTATTTGCAAAATTATTTGAAGAAATACTGGTGTTTTTTCCTTTAGAGAAAATTTAAATTTGCTTCTTCCAGGTTCCTGGAAGCCCTAGCAGTTTGGGGATGCCTGGGAACAGTAGCACTCCAAATCACTTTAAACTGATTTCAGTGATTTAAATATTTGAAGCT